CCGGGGCAGCGATCCCCTATGAAATACACTGTGGATGCAGAACATCCTTTCCCAGCCATACTTGGAGGCAAAGCCCGGCGCAGGCAGCCTTCTGCCCTCACGCAGCGCTTGTCCCGTTGAATGGAAACTCCCTTCCGTGAGCAATATATATATATTTTTAAGCTGCAGTCATGTGCGTGTTAGTGCTGCCCGGCATGTGGCTGCATGCCCACACTCCTGCCCTGCCCCAGGTGAAAATAAATGAAGCAACTGATCCCTGAGGAAGGTTCAGAGGGAAAACAGAGGGTGTGCGGTGGGACCAGCACGCACGTGTCCTAGCGGTGCGGCTGGAGGAGCAGCCCTGCCCCGGGCAAGACCTCGGAGCCCTCCGCTCCTGCCCGGTGGTTCTGCAACCTCCGGAGCAAAAGGGAAAAGGAAAAATAATTGGTCTCCTGTATAAATGCACACACGGCGTAGAGGGGTTGTGCCCAGGGTCTTCCTTGCGGTGCCTGTAGGGGAGTTGGTGCCGACATCCTGGGGGGCCGGGTGCAGGGGCCCTTTGCCAGGCAGGGCAGGAGCCGTGCGGCTCTTCCTCTCCGTGCCCTGGTTGCAAGTGTTGGGGGCTGCTGAGGACGTTGTAAAGGACGTTAAAGGCTGTAAAGGCTATTAAAAAGCCAACAAAGGCGCAGGCCTGGCTCGCCACAGTGACCGCCTAAAATAGTGGGGGGCTTTAGCATTCCGTTCCTGGGGGGATTAAGCCTGGACATCGGTGCCCACCATGTGCATCCCCCGGTGACCAGCTGGGTCGAGGGGTTCGCTCCCCAAATCAGGCTGCAGGAGTGGCCGGAGTGGGGGAATAACAACTGGGGGGGGGGGGGCGCCCGCAGGCTCCCACGATGCTCTAACCTTTTTTTTTCCTTTCTTTTGCGGACAGGCCATGAACTTGGTAAGTTGAGCTTGAGTTTGTGATGCCTTTTGTTCCCCATTGCCTTTCGCCCCTTCCCACAGAGGGGCTAAACCCTTCTCGTCCCCGGGGGAGCAGGGACACCTTCCAGACCTGGCAGCTCCTGCCCAGGGGACATTTGCAACTGCACGACCAGCTCCGTGCTCTGCAAAACTTGCCGGGCACACTCAGATTAGGGGGGCTTTCTGTCTGCCCGTGTAACCTCCATCTCCCTCCTGTCCCCCTGTCCCCCCCTCCCCCCCCAGGACCAGGTCTCGAAGGATAAGGCTCTGCAGAGCATGGCTTCCATGTCCTCCGCGCAGATCGTGTCGGCCAGCGTCCTGCAGAACAAGCTCAGCCCCCCTCCTCCTCTTCCTCAGGCCGTCTTCTCTGCTGCCCCCAGGGTGAGGACAGCCCCGCACCCCCCCCATAGTGGGACGCCCTGTGGTGGGGTGGGGGACACGGATCCCCATGCACGAGCTGCACAGGGGACGGAGGGGGGATGTTTGATGGCCCCTTGGTGGTGGTGGCAATGCAAGGGGGGCTTTGGGGGTTCCCTGCGGTTTGCAGCAGGTGGGGAGGGGAATTTGGGGGTGCGGTCAGAAGCCGCTGACTCTTCCTTGTGCTGTTCCCCCAGTTTTGGAGTGGGCCTATCCCAGGACAGCCTGGACCCTCTCAGGAGTAAGTACGAGACCCCTCCGCTGTGCCGGGCAGGATCCCCCCCTTGGCAAGGGGCTGGGGCGACCCAGCCTTCGTTAACCTAACGATGCTCTTTGTTTTCCAGCATTAAACCGTTTGCACAACCAGCTTACCCCATCCAGCCACCCATGCCTCCATCACTAGCCAGTAAGTGCTGTCCTTGCCCCCTTGCAGGGGACCCTGCACCCCTGCTAGGTCCTATTTGTCACCTGTCCTGTGCCACCCTCCCACCCGCAGTGCCCCCCACTTGCGGTCCCCTCCCCAGCCCTGCCGGGGCAAAAACCTGGGTTTTAACCCAGCCAAAAGCCCCACGGTGAGCAGGACCCTAGATATGGGAGGGTGGGGGATGAGGTAAGGACAGCAGCACCACGGTGGTGTTGGGGGCGGGGGGGTGTGGGGTGCTCGCCCCTGGCTCACGGCTGCCCCTCCTCACCCCGTGCACTCCCCAGGTTATGAGCCCTTGGCTCCACTCCCGCCAGCCGCCTCGGCCGGGCCCGTCTGGCA